ATTTAAAAACTGCATTTTGTATTTACTTGCATTATCTTTGTGTAATATTTAAATTTGTTTGATGATCTGAAACATTAAAGTGTGACAAACATGCAAAAAAAATAAGAAATCAGGAAGGGGGCCAACACTTTTTCACACCACTGTACATAGATAGATAGATGGATGGATGGATACAAAGAGATAGATAGATGGGTGGGTGGGTATGTAGACATAGATAGATAGATAGATAGATAGATAGATAGATAGATAGATAGATGAATACAAAGAGATAGAAAGAAAGATAGATGGGTGGGTAGACAGACAAACAGACAGACAGACAGACAGATACATACATACATACATGGATGGATGATACAAAGAGATAGAAAGATGGATACAAAGAGATAGAAAGACAGATAGATAGATACATACATACATAGATGTCATTTACTACATAATCATAACTGAATTGTTGTCAGAGCAACTATTTACACACCTAAAAAACAAAAAACAATTTACACGCCTAATATTAAAAAATACTTGAGTGTTTTCTAGGGATGTAACAATTAACCGCAAGCCGGTTGAAAATCGATTCAAATACGTGACGATTCAAATCGGTTGAGATGCTAAACAAATCTCGGGGCCGGAGTTTATATGAATGCATGTCTGAGGGGAACTTACTGTCTTTAGAAAAGTTTAGATGGTATTTTTTCTTTTCATAATGCATATTAAAGTTCATAAGTGCAGCACTGCTTTGTTTACAGCGGAAACCAGGAAACGCTTTAAGCGCCACCTGCTGGCAGAGAGTGAATCTGCGTCTCGTTCAGCTCGTCTGCTGTTTCGGTTTCACAGATATTTTTTATGCATAGTTTCACTAAACTGAAGTCAAACCATTCGGTTTTTGCTTCAGATTTCGAAATTATACAATCTAATTTAGATTAAAAGCTGCTCATGTTGCATGTATAGAGCATCTTTGTTTGGATCACGATTAAAATGCAGTGGTTGGCTCTAATTTTAAATGGAAAGAGCACAGACAAAGCCTTAGTTTGTTTAAATGAAGAGATTTATTTGATTTGTATTACTTATTTATGTGATTTGGGGCTTGTTTTAAAATTTCAATTTAGTTTTGTTATTTACATTTACATTATATTTCAATTTTGTCATTTAGCAAACGCTTTTATCCAAAGCGACTTACAGATGAGGACAGTAAAAGCAATCCAAACCAACAAAAGAGTAATTATATGCTATAAGTGCTATATTAGTATTTTATTAGTGTTATATTTCAATTTCACAGAGAAACGTGCAGAATTTTGTCCAAGCAATAATAAAAGGACACATTTAATTTATAATTTGTTTTAAATCTCATCTTGTTAAAAAAAAATCGTGAATCGAATCGTGAGTTGAGTGAATCGTTACATCCCCAGTGTTTTCAGTATTTTTTCAGTGTGTGTTATAGTGATGTGTTCCTGAGTCCAAATGCACCAGTAAAGAGTGTGTGTACGTGTTGCAGGATCTTGCAGAGTTTCTGGAGCAGATCGGGTTCGGTAAATACCTTCCCCTGCTGGAGGAGCAAGACATCGACCTGAGCATCTTCCTCACACTTACTGAGATACTGAGAACGGAAGTTGGCATCACATGAGTCTTTGCACTTCGTTTTATTTTTCTCATTTCATTATAATTGATCACTTTATCACTTTATTATTTTGTGTTTTATTAAAATGTATTTTATTTTCAATTTTATTCAAATGATTTCTTAAAATATTATGATATGATAATAATATGTTTTTTTTTATTAAACTACTTTTCTTTTTTTTCTTTTTTACAATTTTATCACAATTTTATTGTATTTTTTTTATTTTGTTGAAATGTATTTTATTTGTAATTTCATTAATATTATTTTAGTTTTTATTTTATTTATACTGTATTGTTATTGTATTTTTTACAATTTGTTTACCACTACTGAACTGTTATTTTTATTTTATTAAATGTTTTTTTATTTCATTAATTTTATTTATATTTAAATTGTAATTTTTTAAATTAAAATATATTATTTTATTTTTCAATCAATTAACTCTATTTATGCATTTTATTTTATTGTATTTTTATTAATACAATGTTTTTTTTAATTTTTTTTATTTGAACTTTAGCACTTTATTTAAATTGTATTTTTTGGTTTATTAAAGTGTAGTATTTATTTATTTCAATAGTTGTGCTTTTTCTTTATAGTCTGTTTGGTCCT